TTTGAATTTTAAATGCGTGTCGAACTCAAATTTAGCGTTAATATCAACAACGGAAAATTTAATTTATATTTACTTTTTTTGAAAACGTTACAAACGTTTCACAAAGTACCAAAATATCATAGCTTAATTTTTATCTCTAGCTGATCTCACGGACACTTTTATCTCAACCAGAATAAAAATCAGCGAAATTTTTTATAATTTCAAAACAGGAAAAACTGCTCTTAACTGCAAAACTAAAACACGAAAAGCAGCTGTTAATTCTGCTAGGTTTCAAATTATAACTTTTAATGAACAGTTTGATGAAATTTCAAATAAAACAAGTCTTTAAACTGGTCTTATTGAATCTTCAATTTATCTGACGAGCAGAATGTGTAAATAACACAATTTGCATGAAGGAAAATTAATCCTGTCTCAAAACAGAATTTTTTCAGAGCGCTTCAACAAGAATTTAAATAATTAACCACACATTCTAAAATCCGTGAAATTTTAAACCGTTACTTGAAATTTATAAAATTTAAGATGCATTACCATTAAACTCATATTCCTGGTGGCTTAATGCGTCCGATGAAATATTAAAGAAATAGATTTTTTTTATATGTAAAATTTTCTAATTCAGTCACGAAATATTTCAATTTCTAAGCCCTAAAAACGAAATTTAAAAATCTCTTTTGCACACTCTTTTGCAAAAAAAATCAAAGCACCACGAAGGAAGTGGTTGTTTTTGATGAAACTGAATATGTGTATAGCTCATACGCAGATAATAAAATGATTAAAAAATCAAGGTCATAGCTCACAATCACCCATTGAGTGTTCAAATTAGTAGTTGGTCGAACCGCCACCTGACGGCAAAGCATGTTTGAATTCGTCAAGGCGGGGAGTGGTGTAAAGGTTCTAAATGTCATCTGCGACAATTCTACCAGGCATCATCAGTTGTCGCTCAGATCTGCGAATTTTGTGCTGGCGAATATGGCGCTATATGTCCCAGATAGTTGATGGTAAAGGTCTGGTGACCTTGCTGGCCAAGAGATTAACAGCGCACGGTGATAGTCAGAGATATCAGCGGTCTGTGGCCGCCATATCTGTTGGAAATGTGCCATGAAGGGTAATGCACGGCCGCAGGATGGTTCTACATATCGTTGAGTCTAAAATGTATGCGGCTGACTCAAAGGACCTGCTGTAGAAGAAATAGCGCCCCACACCATCCCACAGGGTATGATGTATCCTTTTAAGACATACAAATCAGCCTTTGTTAAAACCCAATCGACCCAATCGGCTTTGTAAACAAAGTGATTGGGCCGCTGGCGTGGTGTGTGTGTGTATTAATTAGGCAAAGCACACTAGGGCTATCTGCTGAGGGAGGAGCTTTCGTGGAGGACTTCTAAGGGAAATGGCTGTAACACGTACAATGGGGAAAACACGAAAACGCCCATGCAGCCAGCCCGTTCGCGGAGGATTCGAACCTCGGACCGAATACCAGTGTCAGCGTCTTTACGCTGGCCGGGTGGGCCTGGGACCGCGGGCCCGTCCTATCAGACACGGCCGGTGGTCACCTGCTCAAAAAGTTAGCGGGATTCTATCTGAATACTTACGATGCCAGTCTGATGCAGCATGATGATCGGCTGCAACACACTCCAGACGACTCGCCGAGGTTGGTCAAAAGTTTTAAAGGCCTGTGAGCACGTAAACGCCGTGGACGGTGGACTGGTACCACGGAAAGTATAGATGGGCTGTAGTACGTTGACTAGTCGAAATGATGTGTTGGGGCGGTGGACCTGGAGAAACGATCTTCGATATTGCCTAGCTTTGTGCTCTTGGCCTTCCAGAGATTTCAATCAGAGAATGGTTGTAGAAGAACATCGCAGTTTCCTTCTAGAAACATTGCTGCCAAATCTTGCACAGCGTGTCTGTACGCGCGGTGGCGGCCTATTGCTCGGACGCCAATCAGCTTCACCAACCTACATGCGACCACGTTCGAGTGTTTAGATGTAGACGTTCGAAGTCGACGTCTGTAAGGTCTTCGATATCGTCGTAATGGCATGTTTAGTTGCTTTTCTACGGAATTACAACGGTGGCAACAAAAAAAGATAAATTTTCCGCCTCTGTTACTGATTTTATACTTTGCGAATTGCGGACTAGAAATGCGCGCTATAATCGCAATTCCTGTTCATTTGCCTTGAAACTGATCATTTGCATGTTCGGTCAAGATGTTTTTGCATGCCAAATTTCGTCACGATCGCAAAAGTCATTCTTGGTGTTCCGGTGTTTTTTTTTTTTTTTTTTTCGCAAAAGAGTGTATAAAGATAAAGCATCTTTATAAGTATGGTAGAAAATTTCTTGAGAGGAAAGGCACTAAACGTCTCCCTGTTTTTTTCAAGCAAAGTCCATACTCTAAACTGACAAAACTTTAGGCCAGCGTGAGTCAGCATGTTATAGAAATCGGAAGCGTTCAAGTGCCACAGATTTTCTAAGCGTCGCAACTAAATATCTTTATTATTTTTAAAAGAATTTTTGAATCGAAAGAACTGTTTCAAGTTAACTAACAAATCTTTCAAAATTTTTAATTAATACGGTTATTTATAAACGCAGATAAAACATTCTTTTTATTAATCCGTGTTCAAGAAAACATTTTTAATTTTATTATGCTGGTAGGAACATTCCTCTTTCCGGTAGAAGAGCAAGCATTTTCTTCGATTTCCTTACAATTCCTCTCCCCTCCCTCATTATAATTGTCAACTGATATTAACAGAAGTAAACTGAAATCGATGAAAGACATAATGGCTTCTGAAAAAATATGAAAGCAAAGTTTTTTAATTCAAGGGGAAAATAATTTAAAGAGACGTTTGACTCAAGTAAAAATTCAATTTTAAAACTATTTAATTCAAGTGAAAAATAATCCAGTAATTTAAAGAAGGGGATCAACAACTTTCATTCATTTTTAGCCTATACATTTATTTCTCTGTCGAGAATAAAACAAACATGAAAGAACAGCACATTCTGAAGAGAAATTGCATTAGAGACACGAAAATTATTTTTAAATAAAATGTCGACTTGTGCAGTAATTTATTTTTCCCAAACACAACATACCAGCATAGTAAAATCCTGCCATATTTATTACGTTAACGATTAGTAAAGTTAGAATATTTTAAATGCAAGTCCATATATTAATAAAGCGCACAAGGACTATCTGCCTAAGAGGAGGGATAACTTCGTGAAAGTCTTTTTAAGAGAACTTGTTTCATTTTCCTGTTACACATGGGAAACGTCACGAAAACCAACCATGCAGCCAACCTATTCGCCGAAGTTCAACCTGAGTAGAATTACCAATATTCAGCTATCTTAGCCACTCTGAAGGTGGTAGGACTTTAGTATCAAACCTATCTTTTTGATATCTTTTTGATCTTTTTAAAATATAGGCTTTTATGTCTGTCATTCTAAACTGATAAACCTCGTATACTTTCCCATAATCAAACAAATAAACATTTTAAAATTAAACCTTAAGTACATCATTAAAATTAAATATCATTGTTAATGCTAATGTGTGAACAAAGGCTGTAGTTCTACTACAGGGTATTTCTATTGTTATAGGATAGCTTCTATACCCTGGTTCTATCATTTACAGCCTGGAAATATTTTCTATTGATTCCATTCCTGAAGTTTCCAAGTGGATAAAACACATACCAGATAGCAATATCAAAATTAATTTCCCTTTTCGTTTTTTAGTCCAAAGGAGAAATTTGCCCAGAAGTACTATTAATTTCGTTTTGGCATTTTGAATTGAAAACTTTAAATGTCGGTCCACTTTTCAAGCTATTTCCCCAAATATTATCGCCCTGTGTTATATTTAAAAAAAAAAAAAGCTAAATAATGAAGAATCTGCATAAATGTATGTATGTTTCTCGCATTCTGATAAACAACGTACCTAGAGATCGCTTTGAAAACGTAATCTCCTGCGAATATGGGCATCTGGAAGATCAAATTTGAAATTTGGAATTTTTATTATCGATTTCATATTTAAAACTTTTTCATTTTGTAAGAATTTGACGAACAACTCAGTATTTCAAAGCGAGCCTGGCAATTGTACAGAAAAAAACACTTTTATCTCCAGCGCGCGAGACTGTGTATCGGAAATTGTAAAGATATGCTCATTTTAAAATTATTTTGTGATATTGCTCTTGAACTGAATTTAATAGTTTAAGTGCGAAGATATTTAATAAATAAAAGGAACACGCAAAATATTAAAAAAACGCCCCTTTAGACGTAATTTAAAATCTGAAACCGTTCAGATTTTTTTAAGTATTTTTTTAAAACCAATTAATTTTTAAACTTTCTGTTATCAAAATTCAGATAAGATAATATAGAAATTTAGGTTAAGCAGACAATTTATTAAGCTTTATTGTCTCAGTTAAAGTAATTTTCTTAATTCCATTCGTAACTTACTTTACATAAGCTACTAAATTATGATAAAAGGAAATGATCAAAACAGTATTGATTGGAACGAAAAAAATTTTTTTTTCGACTTCCTGTAATGAGCTTAAATTTAAACTATTACATATTTATCAAGAATTTATGCTACGTTATAGTAAAATTTTGCTTAGATGTTTTCCAGTCTATATAATTCTTTCATAACCCTATTGAATATGAAAAATCTCATCGTGATTCATGAGGTTGAAAATCTTCTTGTTTGACATATTAAAATACCTCTTTGATTTCCTCCGTAAAATGTAACTATATGTTTTGGTATATTTTACAATGAACATTGTATGTTAAACCCAGAATCCTTATCCTTGCCTTTACCTTCTAATGATAATAATACAGTGCTATAAAATGGTCCATAAATCATAACATAGTCTGTTAAAAAGTTATATATTCTATAGCAACATATGATTGTTTATTCTACAAATTCAACCACTTCTAAAATGAAAGTAAGAGGTTTTCCTTTAAACGAAATGAAAGAATATTTATAAAGAATTCCATGCCATAAATAAATTAGTTTTTCTCACCTGGCAATAAGACGTCGCAGCAGACGATCGAATTGCTGGCTTTGTGTTTACAGTTGTCGATGTAGGCAGGGTCGAAGTGCTGGACGCCGGAGCTTGAGTTGAACTTGCCGCGATTTTAGAATGCTGTGGTAGAACTACGGTCATAACGCTCAACATTGAAATTTTTTAAGGCTCTAAATAATTAGAAGCATTTTTTGTGAAGTTACGAATGATTGATTTTTCCCTCGTGAATTTCTGTGCCTCGCTCGGTTGTTGGGGAAGCAAGCCCGAACTCGAGAGGGGACGAGCAGTACCACCCGGCCGACTCGATCTCCGGCTAAAAACTGTGTGGGCTTCGCGGGGAAGACGCTGTAAGGCAGATAATCGATATTCTGAGTAGCATACTGCGCTTACCGTGTTCACTTTAGTTCGGAACTGATTTTGACAGAGTGTGGCTTCTATCCTTCGCGGTTATTTGATACGCTTAATCTCCCCGAAATAACCGACCCACTTTACGGATATCGCTCCGTCCCTCAAGCACCAGTTGTAGCGAATATTTAATTGCAGGAGTTAGCGCAAACTTATAAAGGCTTGTTGTTTATAATAGCACTTGCAGGTGTTTTTGTTCTTTTCCTTTCGTGCGTAAAAGGAAACTATATTTAAGAATCATTTCTAAAAAGTAAATCGAAAATTAATGAAATCGAACAAAGAGTGTAGGAGAAGGACATAATGAGAAGAAGTAAACGGGGGGGGGGATAAAACCTAGAAATAAATATCAAAACTAGGGTTATATGGAAGACATAAATGTGTATAACTTTTTGTTTATCTTGATATTAACTGAAAAGAAGTAGTGTTATGAAGACACACAACATAGTAATAAACTTTCTAGAAATTTATAGCTTTACCTTCATGGCTGATATGTATTTAAAATGCAAAAATACTATTACATGTCCGGGAATTTTAAGTTTTGTAAGTATTTAAAATTTTAATTTCGCTTCCTTTGATACAGAAAATAAAATCAAATTTATAATTAGACAGAAAAGCAGCTAAAAAATACGTGCTATTAAATAAAACAAAAATTACAATGATAGAATTCCAATGACACACGTAAAAGACAAATGATACCTGGAATTAATAGATTTATAAAAGATATACATGAAAGTCCACAATTTGTTGCTTATATTATTATTGGAAGCTATTAACAAAACTTTAATAGCCATATTTAATATTTATAATGGGGAGATGGAGAATACTTGCTCTTTTTTTTTATCTAAACGTTAGATCTTTATTTTATTTCTTGTATTGCATACTATAGGTAGTTCAGTATGCTTTTCTTTTTCTGAAACTATAAATCTAAAAATATATGTCTTTCTGCCTGTAAATAATAAAGTTGTAAGATCATTAGGTTCCTTTTTTTTTTTTTTTCCTTTAAGCAGGAGAAGTGGAAAATGCGCAGTATTCTCGACGAAACTCAAACCCTGGACCTCACAAATACACGTCCAGTATGCTTCCAGTTACACCACGAAGGCATGCCGAAAAGAGGAGAAAATACATTACATACTTCCCATTTTAAAAGGCGACTGGGGATGGAGGAATCCAGTCGCCAAATCCTGGTCGTGACGAATTATTGTCTACTACCTTTTAGTTATTATGCTATTTTGAAGCAGGGGGGCTGAAACATCCCCAGGACTTGAATCTCCAGGACTATCCCCAGGACTTGAACTCTGCACTTTTCGAATAAGCGTCGAGTAGGCTTCCAGTTACACCACGAAGGCATGCGAAAAGGAGTCAGAAAATATGTTTAAAAGTTATTAAATGAGCCTTCTTAGGGTCGTTTAATAAATTCTGTAACTGAATCATCAGTCACAAAATAGCTTCCAAAAACTATACTTTACCTCTTGCACCTATGATGTAAATAACGTTTGTTGCCCTAATTTTCTAAATCTTGTAAAATTTGGATATGGCTGATTAGGTGATGAGCAATCACCCTGCCCATTTTTCTAGACGCAGATTTTTTTTTTAGTTTCTGTTTTAAAACGCATTTTGATAACCCTTTAAATACAAAGTGCGCCCATAAAGTAACCAGACGAGTTTTTACAAGTAAGAAAAGGTTAACTAAGCTTCCATCGCTTTTAAAATAAGCGACAGAGGTGTCTACATAGTTTTGCGAACTTTTTTTTTTCGGGTAATCGAAAGAGTGTTTATAGCCATTGGAAGTAACACTTCTCAAAACTTACGTAACGTTTGATTTAATATCCAAGACGTTTTCAAATCTCTGTTTCTTCATGATCATCCAAACACGTAATAGAAGGGCTGTTTTTTTTCTGTCTTTCTCGGTTTCTGAACATTTTTTAATAGAATTAAACAAACATGCATATACAGTTTTATTAAAACAAAACTGTTTTTGATAAAATTGTATAAATTTATTTATTTACATGTCTAGCATTTCTTACAGGTGTGAAATCTTGTAAAACAGTCATTCTTGCGAAGTAGAACCTGACAAAAATGACACATATATCTTGTTTCACTTACAGTTTTCTGATTCATTGTCACTTCCTTCATAGTATAACTTAGCTGCATAAATTTTCTCACAGATTTCCTCATTGTTTCACAGAAAACTCTTTCTTGCTTTTCATTTTATCTGTTAAAAAGTGCTAAAAATTTTTACCTAAAAAGCAAAACTGCGCAGTAGGTTCAAACAATAGACAGTACTAATGGTATCAGAAAATAAATGCAACTCTAAGTGGCCCGTCCCAGGAAGTCACAATATGAAAACTTAAATTTACGTGTCCAGTTCGTTACGTGCTAAGCTTCGGAAAAAGGAAAATATCAGCAGGCGAAGAGTCAGAAGAATATGGTGGATGATTTATCACTGCAGTTGAACGCTTAGAAAGATACTATTGTACGGGCAATGCTGTTAGAGAACCTAGCATTATCGTGTAAAAAAATCTGTTACTCAGAATCAAAAGGTTCCTTCCTAGCTCGCCTTATCATGTTTCTTAAAATAAAAAAAAAGCTCCTCTTGTAAAAATACTAATTGATTGGTAACTGAATCCAGAAAGCTTCCAAACTCCTGCAAAAGGTACAGATGTGCTAGACGCACTGCTCGCCAAGTTTGGTGATTTTTTTCTATCATACACGGTAACCTTGCGATTTCGTCGAGATTGTGTTTTGTATAGCAGCCCATTTAACCAGTTTTTTCCTTTAAAATAGCATTGAATAATAGTTTAGACTTTTGTTTGGCTATTTTCTTATTTCTCCTTTGCTTTTTGTCAAAAAATATTTTTTTACATTTTTACTAAAATTTAAAGGTTGTTTCCTCTTTCCCGAATGTTATGTGCACTTGTGTTTATATTGGATTAATTATTTAAGTTTTTTGCTTACATTTCGTGCTTTAAGCTTAAAAAGTCTGAGAAATCGGGGTTTTCTTGTCAAAATGTTTTGGTGGTAACTTTGTCAATGCAGTAACTTTTGTCAATGCAGTGTCTGGCATATCCTTTTCCTGTAAAGTATGCAAAGAAATGAAAATCAACTACACTGACATCTAGTATTCCTATTTCAAACCAATTTCATAACCTACAATTTGAACGAACTAGAATTCAGATGGAAGAAACTGTACGAAGTACTTCGTCTGTGACATGAAACTGTCTGAACCAAGTACTTCCTTCTCTGTGACATCAGTTTCTACTCCCTAGAAGCGAAAGAATTCTTCCCTTAATTGTTGATAATAAATCCAAATGAATTTTTACAATTAATTCGACAAACAACTGGATCAGGAATTACTAATAAACTCAATGACCAAAAACTAGTAATCAATTCGCCTGACTCCGATGTTCATGTTCGAATCAGGAACCTCGTAGATTCCTGTGGTCTTCAGGCTCATACTATGAATTGCCGAAAGGTAAGATGTTTAAAACGTTCGAATTGACAAAGCCGTACATATATGGCTTAAAAAATATTTTTTGTGTTAAGAAAGTATATTTACGTGCATTTTGAAATTTTTCCAAGAAATTAAGGCAATATATAAAAAGCGCGTAAGCTCTGTAGTAAATTACTAGATGCATTTCATTATTAAAATGAACATTTTCTGATGCCAGGCTTCCGGAAATTTGGGCTTTCTTAACGAAACCTCGCACCCACGAGAAGGTTAAAATCATCATAAGAGATCTCCCAGTCACAGCGCCAAAGAAATTATTCATTATGTCGGTATTGCAGTATAGTCTAAGCATATGGCAAAATTAATGAATCATAAAGAAAAGAGGATAACTTCCGTTATTTTTAATATATCTCCCATGCATCGAGAAGAACAAATCTTTAATCTCACTAAACTTGGTTACCTGAAAATCAAAACTGAAACCCTAAGGAAAAGCGCAATGTTTTCGCTGTCAGTAATGTTATGATAGTTTTTTCTACTGCATATTAGTAAGTGTGTGTCAGAGACAGAAAAGGCCACTTTTCAAATCATTATCAGATAGATCAAGCAGCGAAATATATTCATTATGCTAGACTTCATTCAATTAATTATATAGGATGTCCTCGTTGTTCCCGTCAGAATAAATCAGCCCAACAACGACCACATCAAACAATTTTATCCCTACTGCAATCTGACTACCAGTCCTTAGACTATAAAGAATATGCAAATACCAATAAAGTTTCGTAATTACGACGAACAGTTTCCAGTCCTTCCCAGAACATCGAATTCTATGCAGATCAGATATGACCGATTCCTACTGCTCAACATCAAATTGATTTGAATTTTCTTTCTTGAAAAAGGTGTGGAATATTATTAAGACATCGGTCTTTGAACTGAAAACTGAACAGTGCAGTTTTGATAAAAAGAGGCGTCATTGAAGATCTAGAAAATTATCCGAATACGTTCAATTTCCTCAAACACAGCATGGACAACAGGTACTCTATCAAACATTTATGTTTCGCCCAGTAATGTTATTAGATTCAGAACAGAGAACCGAATTACCTTTGAAACTTGGAAAATTAAGGCGAAAATTTGCCAAATATCCTATGGGAATCCAGGTCGTCCTAATCGCAGAGGCAGAGAAATTTTTGACTTTACAATTTAAATGTTGCACTTCAACAACATCAAATTAACCTACTCGTTATCATTCTAATACATCTACTATAATTGGCTTTTTCCTCTTAAAAATATCTCATACAACTATTGGAATGAAATACTTTCAACACTTTCATGTGATTTCAATTTAGTTTGCCATCATACAGAATTTCATTCCTTCTTACCACTAATATACGACAGCAATAACATTCCCAAACTGGAAAAAATTTCGTAAATACTATGGAGTCCCTTATGAAAGGAA